ATGATATGACATGTGCTTAGTTGTCTGAGTAACAACGGATTGATGACCCTGACCATGATTTACCCCATGCCACAGCAGCTGCTTTTAGCGGGGAAAGGATTGCCCATTTTATGCCATGTAAGTGCCAGTTTGTAGGGTAGATGGTAGCCGTTTACTCTGTTGATGATATTGGTCTTACTTAACGAAGCTTCAACCCATGCTTGAGTGATAGCTTTAAAGGTAGATCAATGGTGTGTATAGTAAGGAAACTCCTCGGATGGTATGAGGGAGTTGAGACTTGGGGTAGCGAAGGTGTGTGGTGCCAATAGGTTTATGGTTAGTCTTTGTTTAAGGGAAGATTCCCTTGTGACAATACCAATGTGTTTGTGTTTGGTGCCATGCTGTAAATGGTGGAGATTGGAAAACCCAAGTAAAAACCCCTCTGCAAATCTTGGCTATGAGTGTGTTTACAGCCGACGGTGCTGTTGTGCTGACTGTAAGTGAGGGCATGCTATATTCCTTGAGGGTTTATTATGATACCTGTATGGGAGCCCTTTGAAGCTCCAGAGCCTTAGTAAATCTACTACAAGTATGAGTCAGTAGTGTTGAAAATGCATTGGTGTGTACAAATGGTGAGTACGTTATTTGTAAGTTGTATTGGGACACATGGTTTGTCATGTGCCCTGAATGATTTGAACATATATGCAACAGTCTATATGCAATGCAACTACTAATACCAATTGTCTCTGGTAGTTCAGAGGTGCTGGTACCTGGAGCCTGAGAGTGCTCGTCCGTTTGTTTGGGAGAAAATCTCTTCTGTATTGGTACCTGCACAAATAAGCATCTCTACATATTCCAAATGCCAACACAACCAAGGGATGGTCAGATCCCGATTTACCTAGAATCCCTGGGTCTGACCATCATAGATACATCATCATACATATTTATGCCTTGTTTCCCCAATGTGCCGGGATCATATGTGCAAAGTTAACGTCTTGTACCAAGAACTGATTGTACCAGGTAACCAAGTTTCGGTTGGTGCTGGTTGTACAGTAGTGTGAGGCCCAGCCTTGTGAGGGCTGTGACCGACTCGAGATTGCCAGTCTGTCGTAAATTTTTTGGCTCATGAGTTTATGAGTGAGGCTAGCATGGCATGGGTGTCACCTGAGTTGGTTTTGCTGGGCCTTCCCCTGCCTCCGTGTTGTCCGTTGATGTATGGAGGAGTTTGAATAACTCTGCTTTCCTTGCTGTGGCAGGGTAGGGGATTTGTCGCCTCCTTAGGTTGGAGCCACATCTCCTCTGCTTGAAGGTGTATAACTTCTAGCCGGGGTGCCAGGAAGAGGTGATTCTTCACCATCTTTTTGAGAATAACTTAAATAACAATAAAGATTGCAATTAAATATTAGTACCCAGGGGTCTTGTACCGGCTTGCTAGCTAAGCCGTAAGGCGAAATGATTAGGGGGTATTACCTATTGGACCATAGAACCCTAATTGCCAGTACATTACTACTATTCCAGAGAAGGTAAGAGATGAAGGTGTATCACTTCTAGCCGGGGTGCTAGGAAGAGGTGATTCTTTAACATCTTTTTGAGAAATACTTAAATAACAATAAAGATTACAATTATATATTAGTACCCAGGGGTCTTGTACCGGCTTGCTAGCTAAGCCGTAAGGCGAAACGATTAGGCTTGGTGTTTTTTGGTGACTGGTGAGGCCCTGCTAGTTGCCAAGTGGCTTGAGAGGCTCTATCTATGCTTGGCGCGAGGGGATTTTGTGTGGCCACCGAACGTTGTGGCAGGATGTTGGCCTCTCGGTGACAGTAACCAGAAAAATAGGAAGGGGAGTGACAGGTGAGGCCCTCTCTATGATACAATGCGAGGCGGCTAGCTCACGAGTGGGCCGAGGGGTGTATGCCTCCGAGTGTGAGGCGGGGTGTTGGCCTCGCGGGACCACTAACCGAAGCATAATGCAGAAAAAAAAGGGGGTAATACCTATTGGGCCCTAGAACCCTAATTGCCAGTACACTATTACTATTCCAGGGAAGAGATGGATAACTACGTGAGCAGGTGTACGTACCTGGTAGTATGGTATTGAACCTGACAATCCGTATAGGTTTTTTAGTAGCAACTATAACCTGAATGGATAAAATCGTATGGCATAAGGAAATATGGCATAGACCAAGCTTATCTTAAAACATACAGTATATGTGAAAGTAAAGTGGCGTGATATGTAAATATTAAACATCATATCCATACTGGTTAAATATGTATCAATCTTAACCCATTAAGTGCCGTATGTATGTGAACCATATTACCAGTTACGTATATACAGATGCGTGTGCTACTGTGTAATAATATGTGTATTTATAACAGATGTTGATATACTGCTTGCTATGTGAATTGTTGTATGCCTTATTGAATGGTTAGTGAACATGGTGTTGCAAAATGCAAGTGCACTGGAGATCTGCCGAGTGCCCTATAGGTGGCAGTGTAGTTGATACTGATTGGTATGTGAAATGTTGTTTGTCTGTTGACCTATAGGGTTCAGTGTTTTGGTGTTTGTAAAACCCCATGAAAATTGTCAATGTACTTGACAGGCCTGTAGGTGGCAGTGTTGATAGAACCACTGTTAGTCTTGATGTGAAATGTAAATTATTGTGAATTAAACCTGAAGTTGAGCCCGTGTTGGAGTTTAATTTATGATTTATGGTTATGTTTAAAACAATCTTATGTGTATTTTATATTGGCTGGTAATTGTATATGACATGTGAAGACAGTTTGGCTGTTGACCAGTAGGGGTCAGAAATGCTGATTGTATGGTAAAATACCCTTTAACCCCTGAAGGATACATGACATGTGTGACATGTCATGATTCCCTTTTATTCCAGAGTTTGGTCCTTAAGGGGTTAATCCAAATGCAAGGTTAACGTGAGATTTTGAGAGTGACCTGTAGGGGTCAGTGTGGTTTATGTAAAACATTGTTCGTGAGCTATGCCCCAGCATTATAGTTGTATGACAGGGAAACAAACAGTGCCGGTTTGACAATATACAATAAGTGAACATAATAGCTTAATAACAGTCATTGTAACAAACCAAAGTTCTGTTCATGGGTTGTAAACGCACGAAACGTGTGTGTAGTACAATAGTAAATGCATGAACTTGTTCCCGTTTCTTAGAAAATTGCACGAGCCGTGAGCCTGGTATGTCAGGGAAACAAAACGAAATGAGCAGTGAGATTCGAAATGCACGCACAGAATTGCCTAGTATGTTTAGGCAATTGAAACAGAATGTGTTCCCGTTTGGGAGTATGCTAATGCTCGAAATGAGCAAGTGACAGATATAAACAAGTGAATTTACATGAATGATATGCATGAACATGCAATGGTTTTAGGACAGATTTAGACAAAATGCAGCCGTAAAGTGAGGACCTGACCCGTGCATGGTGCCGTAAGAACTGATGCCTGGTGTAACGGGTAGGTCGACTTACGGTTTGTGAGTCACTTGGACACCATCCACAGTTATAGATTGAAGAAAGAAGGTGGTTGTGACAGAACCATCTGTCTGCTTGGATTTTAATTGCATTCGTCTGTTTGTCTCCCGTTCGTATGAATGGCTGGTTTCTATAGCCCAGCCATTCGAATGACTCTTTTTTCCCGAACAAAACTGCAGAACGGACGGCCACCCAGGAGAGAAGTGTGCTGCTGGTTAACCTATTGATCCCAATTAGAACGTTGTGGTTAACCGCAGACACTTCTCAATTAAACCGAATTCAGGGTGGTCGTCGTTCGTATGTCGACCACGAGGCAGCAGCCATTTTAAATCAAGCGAACGCCCAGCGGTGTTTGGCTCTATTTCTGTGGAACTAAAAACGGACACTTTTTCTGCCAAACACCGCTGAAACAACGGAACGCCTGGCTGCCTCCAAGAAACCATACGAACACCGGCTGTTCGGGAGTTTTGGAGCATACGAAAAGACTGAACCCAGATAGCCTTCCCATGGAGTCATTTGTATACCGAAAGACTGTAAGAACTTTGACTCCATGGCGATTGAACTATGTGTGTGGGATCTGAGCGCTATTCGCCAATAATATGCACTCAGATCCAGGCTATCTGGGGATATGTAATACGAATGGGAAATGTTCGGTTATTTTAAAGTTATGTATTTTTATGTCTTTTATGATTTTATATTTAAAATGGCGACTGGCTTTGTCCTGGAGTTAATTGAGTTACTTGGTAATTAACTCCAGGGCAGAGGGGAGGGAATCATAATGCACTGTGGGTAAAATTTGTAACTGTATGTCTGGAATGTCCCCATGTCTATCTGTAATTCCAGTCTCCCATTTGGTCCCCTAGGGGAGTGTCCACCAAGTGGGAGACCTGCATAAATACGGGCAGGTAGCCCACAGTAAAGCCAGATCCTGTTTGACCCTCAATGCGGAGCTTCTGTTTCGTTATTGGGGGGATTTCTTCTTCACGTTTAGAGACTGCTGGATGGAGCGGAAGCCGCTTGGTGAATATTGCTGTTCGACGGTTACCAGCAGTTCATGTATTGCCATTCGGGAGTTTGGAGCCGTTCGCCGATCTCGATCGGGAGATTGCCGCTTCCCCTGCATTTGGTTCGTATACTACAGATTAAGCGAACGGAGAATGTACTGCAGCCGGGGAAGGTCTACTAAACGGCGGATTTGCCTAAAGACACTGGAGGTGTCTTAACAGTGGTAGGCCGGAAAAGCCTGTGGCTGAATTCCTGACACAGCTCAGCTTAGAAAACCTCATGGAGTAATCAGGTAAAATGGCGTCTGGATGACCCGGAAGTGGAAATCATTCTGATGCTGACCTCAAGCGATATGAGTCAGGTAAGGGGTGTCCCTTATATAGGGGAGTGAATTAATTTAAGCCCCTCCCACAAATACAGGCCAAACGGCCTTAAAACATATATTTTTTTTTTTTATTGGGGTAGCCCCCAAAATATTGGGACATATAAAAAAAGACAACTCTGTTCCGCAGAGTAGCTGTTGACATTATAGTTGCGCAGGCACTTTGTTGACTCTAGAGAACCTCAGGTCAATCGCACATCCCCGTGATGGCGACTATGCATTTGGATGTCATCCATATGAACTTTCAATGCCAGTTTCTGCGCCTACCAGGGTGACCATAGGTAACGGGGAATCAGGGTCCCATTCCGTACAGGAACCCTGAGAAATGGCTACCACATACAAGGAAGGCAGCAGGCGCGCAAATGACCCACTCCCGACGCGGGAAGGTAGTGACGACAAATAACAATACAGGACTCTTTAGAGGCCCTGTAATTGTAATGAGTCCACTTGAAATCCTTTAACTCTGATCAATTTGAGGGAAGTCTGGTGCAGAGCCACTGACCTGTGCAGCAGCAACTCCACTATCACCTGCTGCTGCTCACACAGTCTCATGAGGCGGTGAGGGGGAAGGCCGAAGTTACGCTGCATCGCAGACAGGCGAGCAGCAGCAGGGTGAGAACGTCAAAAGCACTCACAGCCGCTACAGTGAATGTCACATCCTATTCCAAGTTACGGATCAGTCTGGTGATGGCTTCTGGTATCCAGTACTCTTTTTACTGAAGCTGCATTAGGGTCCTGTTATGTGGCCGCACAAACGCTGGTGCTCAACAGCAGGGGGCGTGCGGTTACCCTGCACCAGACCCTGCTAATCCATTCCACACTGTGACTCCTAACTTCAACATCAGGCATACTGGGTCCTGGTCGTCCGACCGCGGCCCGGACAGTGTCTGGGTCCTGGTCATCAGACTGCCCACCTCACTGTGAAACTACGAATGGATCGTTAAATCTGGTACAAACCCGAACTTTGCAGTTTGGGTTCGCTCAACTCTATTATGGATCCTTTGATCGTATTACTTGGATAAATGGTAATTCTCGAGCTAATACATGCCGACGAGCGCTAGGGGACGGCCGCTCCGCTTTTGCACCCTGCTCCCTCTTATGCTGTGCTGGTGCCTCTGTGCGACCAGCGCCTCTTCCTCCAAACTGCACACGTCACTCGCATGACCTTGATTCCATGTGGGGTCTAGGACCTCATCATCCTCCACATCATCTTCCACCCACTCCTCAACCCTGCCCTCTTTGTCGGTATGCACACTGCATAAAGCAACAGCAGTTGGCACCTGTGTTTTTCCAGCATGTAAAGTCTGCAAAGGACATATGGAAATTGTTTTAGAATTGTATCCAGGCAACAGTTTTCCCTATAAACTGACCTCTCAGTTTGACTTGTGAGAGTATTGCCCCAGAATTACAATATTGTTTAAGTACCTCTTAGCTATTAATAACTGGTTTAAATATAGCAGTTTGTTATCTGGTAGAGATCTGGGGAGATAGCGCACCTAAGTGGACAAGGGCACATGTAGAAGTCTGGGTATAGATGCATGGGATTGGTTGGGAAAGAGTGTGTGGGTGGGATTATGTTCTGTGTAAATTAGTGTGGGGGAGGTCTTACCTTGGTGCCACTTGGGATTTGGGCCAGCAAACAGCTTCCTGTCATCCTGCTCCTGTTTGCCTGGGCCTGTAGTTTCACATCTTGAGGGATGGAGGTTGAGGCCTTCTGGCTTCACTCAGAGCTGCTGCAGCGTGGATGGTGGCCGGTGACTGGAGGTTTGGGCACATTAATGGAGGTATGGCTACCGGTGTGGGCCCCCCCACGGCCTACATTCCCCTGGAGCACCCCCTGCGGTCTCCCCTGCTGCTTCCCATGCGGTCCCTGCCTCTGGGGGCCGCTCCAGCACTGGCAGGCATTCCCGCCCGCCTGCCAGGCTGTCTCCTGATAATACTCCTCGTGCCCGGTTGAGGACTGGGAGCCCGGGCCCGAGGCCTGCCACTGCCGCCTCCATTGCCGCATGGCCTGGTACTCCCAGGCCGGGGATGCGGCCTACTACCGCCACGTGGCCTGTTGCTTCCACAGCCACGTGGCCTATTACTGCCAGGCCGGGGATGCGGCCTGCTAGTGCGGCTGCCGTGCTGCCTACCGATGGCGGCGGGTGGCTGCCCGGGAACGGTCCAGGTCCCCCCGCGTGCATACTTTGTTCCTTCTTTTATTTATTCTAGTCCTCTTAACACAGAAAAAAAAAAAACTAAATAAAAAGAAAAAAAAAGAATAAAGAAAGTTAATTACAGGACAGAAATAAAATGTAAGTTACCAAATGGAATAAATGTAAAAAAAAAAAAGTGAATACAATGTCAGGTACAAGGGGAAGAATAAACAAAAAAAAACTGGAATAGAATCCAAAAAAAAAAAAAAAATTGGGTCATGGACGTCATTCCCCCCTTAATTTTCAGCATGTATCATATGTTTAAGTACGCTTTCCTCCTGGGCCTCCCTTAATAGTGGCTTGTACAATCTGGCCACCTAAGTCCTTTCCGCTGACTTCCAACTGTTTGCCGATGCAGCAGGTTTGGGTGTTTGGGGCCATTTTGGGCTCTCAATGGTGTGCTGACTCTTGCCCATTTCGCTGGCAAGCATCGGGGCTCTGGTGGACTCTGGTGTTCTTGGAGCTTCCCCTTTCTGGTGGCATGGTAGGCATGGGGTACCAAGCTCACAAACAGGTAGGTGGTTTTTCCTTTGGGACCATTGTCGAGTGGTACTCTGGTTGCGGCGCCTGGCTCCACACTGTTTGAGTCTAGGGGCGGGTGGCCAGGGTTTTTTTGTCTGGTTATTCCCAATGTGATGGCCGATGCTCTGTCTTGTTCATTATGGAGCGTACTTCGGGAGGAGGTGTCGCCGGGTTGATTTTATACGGCTGTGGAGGTGTGGTCGCTTGGTCCAACGGTCTGATGAAGCTGGTCCGTGGGTCGATCTCTGAGGTGGCTTGGGGCCCATTCCAGTAAGGTGGGAGTGATCGGGACGGATGGGAATGTTTCCTTGGGGGTTCCGGGAGTGGACTGCTCATCCACATGTTTGGTTCCGTCTATTACGGGCGCTGGGGGAGATTTCTGCGATTAGCAGGGCTCGGCTTCCCGTTCATGTTACGGTCGTCGGCAAGTGGGAGGGTGTTTTGGTGGAGTTGAGTAAGCGTTGGAACGGACTTCCTTCAGGTTTTGCCGCTCAACAGCTTTTGTCGTTGGGTAGGGTAATTTGGTTGCGGTTCGCTGATTCGTCGATAGAATCTGTGCAATTCTTTTTTTCATTGCGGGGTTGACATGCCCTGGCCTTTCTGCATTCTCCTGAGGTAGATGGAATGCACAGGGTTATGTTTGGGCTCCTAACATGATGTAGTGGGTTCCCAGGATAGTCGGAAATATAGCGTTCCGATCTCGGATATGGGTTTTCTCTCCTGCTTCCATTTAGTTGGGGTTTTCTGCTTGGGGCTTGAATTCCTGGATACGGATGGTGGGGAGTTCAAGGGGCATTCATTCTGGTTGGGGGTGGCTACGGACGCTGCCAGGCTTGGCGTGCCTGCGCCAATGGTTCAGAGAGCTCGAATGGTGGGAGTCAGGGTGGTGGGTTCCTTAGGTTCACCCTGCTGGTCTCCGAATGGATTTATCTCCGCGGTTACGGTCCTCCCCCACCCCAGAATGGGGATGGTGGGATGCTCATGTGTAATTTGGGCCAGGAGGTGGGACGAGTGGTTGGGTCTTATGCCTTCGGGAGCAGAGGTTCAGTGGTCTGGCACTAGATGTATGAATGGGGGGTGTGGTTCCTCCTCGTTCAGGGTCAGCTGTCCCGCCTCATGGGGGTACCAGGGGTTTTGTCTTCTCTGGGTGGAATGACATGGGTTCGGTGACAGTTTGGGAATTGGGTGCTCTTCAATCTGGACATGTTACGCATTCTGTTTATTCCCAGAGGTTCTCAGGGTCTAGGCTGAGGCTATCGCCCATTCCTGTTGGAAGTGCGCTCGGCAATGTGAGTGCCCTGGTGCGCTGCCATCGAAATTCGGACGAGATGGGTTTCTAGGTTTGTCTTGGTGGATTCCAGTTCGCCTTAGGGTTTGGTCGGATGTGGCCTAGTTATCTCGAGTGGATGGGTGCGCTTACTGGAGGTCGGAATAGGCCTATGTTAATCTAGCGCTGCAAGAAGTGGTGGAACAGGCCATGGCTGGTTGTGGTGTAGTCCCCCGCTGATTTTAGGTGTAAAACAGCGGGGTTGTGACGGGGGTTTTATGATTTAAAAAAAAGAACACACTACATGAAGGTCCTGTTCACTAGAGTGTGTAGTCATGAATGTAACCAGTAAAACTTTGTTTTTACAGCCACTGGTTGGCCCATACATATTTTAAAACTTGTTTAATTTTGTTGTAGCATGACTTGTTGATATGAAGAGCAGGCCCCAAAATTTACTATTTAGCAGATTAGCACCTAGAAAATAAGAATGTTTACCACTGCGCTGTAAGCACACTATTAGACGCTTCCATTTGACTCTCAGATATGAAGTGCACACCCCAAATATACTATTTAGCACCAAAAAAAAAATAAATTACTTTTTAAAACTCCAATGTAAGCAGCAGATTAGCAGCAAAACAATTAGAATGTTTACAACTGCGAAGTAAGCGCACCATTTGACGCTTCTGACTCTCAGATATGAAGTGCCCCGCAGGCCCCAAAATGTACTATTTAGCAGATTAGCAGCCAGAAAATTTGAATTTTTACAACTGCACTGTAAGCACACTATTAGACGATTCGATTTGACTCTCAGATATGAAGTACACCCCACTAAAATACTATTTAGCAGTTTAGCACCCAAAATTTTTTAAGTTTTAAAACTGCAATGTAATAGCAGTATTTGACGCTTCTATTTGACTCTCAAATAAGAAGTGCACCCCACTAATGTACTTTTTAACACCCCAAAAATGTTACGTTTTAAAACTACAATGTGAGAGCACTATTTGACTCTCAGATATGAAGTGCACGAACCAAAATGTACTATTTAGCAGATTAGCACCCAGAAAATTAGAATTTTTACAACTGCGCAGTAAGCACACTATTAGACGCTTCGATTTGACTCTCAGATATGAAGTGCACTGCAGGCCCCAAAATGTACTATTGTTACTGGAGGAATAACAGGAACAAACCGCAGAAGCCACACATAAAGATATGAACACAGGTATTTAGGAAGTAAGAGGCCTTTATTCACATACTGATCGGGTCTCAGATGACTCCTGTTCCAAAAATATCTGAGAGAAGAAAGCATAGTGTAGATTCCTTTTGTAAGCAGCATATCCCCTCCCATACAGTATAACCCCTCCTGTATTCCTCAGACCAATCAGCACACAGGATATTCAGGATCACCTTAT